GTAATCGATATTTCTATTGATTGTGTTAACGGTTTTGCCACCGATATTATTATCGCTTTTGTTATCGATATTGTTACGGATTTTGCTATCGATAGTTTCGGAGCTTATCGATATAATGATCGATATTTTTATAGATTTTGTTATCGATATTTTTTTATCTATTTTGTTATCGATATTGTTACTGATTTTGCTACCGATATTTTCGGATCTTATCGATATAATGATCGATATTTTTATAGATTTTGTTATCGATATTTTTTTTATCTATTTTGTTATCAGTTGTTTTATCGATTTTGTTATCGATTTTGCTATCGATATTATTATGGATTTTGCTATCGATATCATTATCGATTTTGCTATCGATTTTGTTATCGATGTTTTTATCGATTTTGTCATCAATATTTTAATCGGTTTTATTATCGATATCTTTATCGATTTTGATATCGATACTGTTATCGCTTTTCTTATCGATACTTTTATCGATTATGTTATCAATTTTGTAATCGATTTTTTTATGGATTTTATAATCGATTTAGCTATCGATATTTTTATCGATTTGTTATCGATTTTGCTATCGATTTTGCAATGGATATTATTATCGATTTTGATATCAATATTTTCATCGATTTTGATATCGATATTTTCGATTTTTTATATCGATTTTTTATGGATGTTTTTATAGGTTTTGCTATCGATATTATTATCGCTTTTGTTATCGATATTTTTTTCTTAGTGTGTGCTTTGGTTTTTGTCTTGGATATTCTCTTAACCATACCACGTATTCTACGTTTAAATTTACCGGCTGTATCTCCGATACATCCTGCAGACCAAGGCGAAGGCGCTAGACTGTTCCTTTTTTGCTAGTTTTTATAGCATCTTTTTATTTCTTTCGCAATGATTTAAAACCAACAACACGCTTTTATTACAATAAGAACTAAAAAGAAAAAAAAATATTTCTTGATTTAACGATTCGTTAAATAAGGATATTTAGTTCCCTAAAACTTTGTTCACATATCAATATTATCTCAATCAAAGCTCGTTTTTTAATCACCCCGTTTACACAGGCAAATCTCAGATTATTAGCCGTCAAATTTGTTGTGCTTGTTATTCTCACATCTCAAGGAAAATTTATGATTCTTCTCTGTGCCACCGTGATTACGTTTTTCTGCTATAATAAGCAATATAAATATATTTTAACTTAACATTTTATTAAAAATACCTTTACAAACCTCTTTTACTTGCTAGCTTACATTTTTGTTTACTTTTACATTTGGCATTTCTCCTCTCTTTCGCAAAAACAATCGATAAAACTAGGATGGACACCGCAAAGTTAAATCTGATATTATTTTATAATTACAGATTAACAAGGGACGAATTTTATATGGCTAATCTCTTGTTATAATTACAGATTAGGGTGTTAAGCTCGAAAATGAGGATAATCTACTTATATGTGAACCTAGTATAACTTGATGTTATTTAACCTTTTAAACTAGCTTAGGTTAGGTTGAAGTGGCTGCTAGGCCCAGAGGGCGTCAGCACACTAAGGCCCGATCAGGGCCCATTGTGATACCACATGGATCCAAAAAAAAAACCCCCTACTCCTTAAACCAGTTTGTGGAGTCTGCAAACCTTAGCAACTGCCGTATTCCAAACTTAGCAGTCGCGCTTAGATCGTCTAGAAGACCTATACCTAGGAATTTCTGTCTTTTCCTGCCCAGTGCTGGGCAATCGCAGAGTAAGTGCCTTATTGATTCAGGCTCTTCTTCGTCGTGGCAGCTCCTGCAGTAGTCCTTGTGACTAACCCCGAGGCGTTCTGCGTGCCTTCCTATCAGAATATGTCCTGTGAGCAGACCAATGGCCAGTGACATATAGCCTTTATTGAGAGTGAGAATTTCTCTCGATCTCCGTACATTCCATTTTGGCCATGTAAGCTTCGTTGTATTACAGTTTTCAGTGCGCTTCCATCTGGAGGCCGCTTCTTCAAGGAAGTTCTCCCTTAGTAAGAGCTTGCAGGAAGCGAGTGGCATACCCACCCTCTCCCAGGCTGGTGAAAGTGGAGAGCAAGTACCCGCCCTTGCAAGCTCGTCTGCCTTCTCATTTCCTGGTATGTCACTGTGCCCCGGTACCCATACCAGGTGCAAAGCGAACTGCTCTGCCATCACGTTAAGTGATTTTCGGCAGTTGGCAACTGTTTCCGAATTTATAGTGACAGAGTCAAGCGCCATAAGGGCCGCTTGACTGTCTGAGTATATATATATTTCCGTAGTGGCGATAACAGCTAGTTTTAGGCTGTCAACGGCTTCTTGTATGGCTGCCAATTCGGCTTGAAAGACACTACAGTGGTCAGGTAGTCGGAATGATCTTTTTATTCCCAATTTCTCCGAGTAGTCGCCTCCTCCTACCCTATTTTCTAGTTTGGAGCCGTCCGTGTAGAATCTTATGGCATCTCTAGACCCCGGAACTCCTTCGAGCCATGATTCCCTGCTAGGTAGCGTTACGCTATAACCTTTAGTGAAAGTGAGCCTTGGTACACAGTAGTCCTTTGTACTCGGTAGTTGTCGGTTTCTCAGAATTGTAGTGTGACCACAGCGAGCCACTTTCCAGCTTTTAAGCCCCTGTAGTCTTAGGGCTGCAAACGCAGCGTATTGTCGTCCCATAATATCTATGGGTATGATGTTGAGGATCGTATTCATTGCCATAGTAGGTGTTGTGCGGAGAGCACCACTAATGAAGATCAGGGCCGTTCTCTCCACTTTTTGTAATTTAATAATGTATACTTTCTTCTCCAGCACTGGCCACCATACCACTACCCCGTACAGAAGTATGAGCCTCACCACGACTGTGTATATCCAGTGCACTAGCTTCGGGGTTAAACCCCATTTTTGGCCGATTGCTCTCCTGCAGCTGTATAGGGCAACCGTGGCCTTCCGCACCCGCTCTTCGGTGTTTTGAATCCAGCTTAATTTTTTATCTAGGACTATCCCCAGGTATTTAGCGGATTCGCTTAATTTTAGTGTGGTCTGTGTCAGCCTTGGTGTTATCAATGGGGGGATTTTGTACCTTCTTGTGAACAGTACAATTTCTGTCTTGCTTGGGTTTACCCCTAACCCGTTATTTTTTGTCCAACTCTCGACTTCCTTCAGTTTTACCTGCATAATGTCACATAAAGTCTGTGGAAATTTCCCACTTACTGTTAGTGCAAGATCATCCGCATACGCAATAACCTTACAGCCACCCCCCTCCATGCCACACAGCAGTGAGTTTACCGCTGCGACCCATATTAGAGGGGATAGGACTCCCCCTTGCGGGGTGCCCCTCTCTACGAACCTGGTAAACGACACCCCCGCCAGCTCCGCCCGGACCACCCTGCATCTCAGCATTTGGTTTACGAGCACAACTAAGCGCGAGTCGATGCCCAGGCCCGTCAGTGCTGCCGTTATCGCGCCCGGCATGATGTTGTTAAAGGCGAACTCTATATCCAGGAAGGCTGCTAGCGTATATTCTTTGATGTCTAGTGATCTCTCTATATACGACACTATTTCATGTAGCGCCGTTTCTGTAGATCTACCTTTCGTATAAGCATGTTGTGTGGTAGAGAGTCTGTCACCAACCGACTCTCTGATACGGACCTCCACCAGTCTCTCCATAACCTTCAGTTGAAATGACTACAAGGTGATGGGCCTGAAATCCTTTGGGTTATTTTGAGACACCTTCCCTGCCTTGGGGATGAACACCACTCTTGATTCCCTCCACTTTCTAGGGATATGGTTAAGAGCTAATACTCCCTTAATTATAGCGTGTAGCCACGCTGAGCTTAGCTGAAGTGTTTGCTGTAGCTGTATGGGGGCAATGCCGTCCGGATCTTCTGATTTATAGGGCTTAAATGCCCCAATAGACCAGATGACCTTTTCCCTAGTGAGGAAATCTCCAGTGACCGAAAGATCTTCAGTTAGATGTGGCTGTACCGGCATGCTATCCGTGGCACCCGGGAAGTGTGTGCAAAGAAGCAGATCCAGTGATTCCTCCTCGGTCTCTGTCCAGGAGCCGTCAGGTCTTTGCAAGCATCCTGGGGCTTTCTGGGCAGTACCTGAGAGTATCTTTCTCAGCCTGCCTGCCTCTGAGATAGACTCCACCCCATTGCAGAAGTCTTTCCATGAGGTTCTTTTCGACCTTCTTAGGAGCTTCTTGTACTCCCGTAACGTTGTCTTGTAGGTCTCCCAATGTACCTCACTACCAGACGCAGTAGCCTGATTGAAGGTTTTCCTGCAGTTCTTGCGTGAAATCCTGATTTCTTCATTCCACCACGGTGGCTTTTTCCTACCCCGGTGCTGCTTTCTGGGGCATGCAATGTCTATTGCCTTACTGCAGGCCCCCGTAAAATGGTCGACAAGGTATTCCAGCTCCTCTAGGTTTGCTGGAGTAGCCGGCTCTCTATCTTGTGGCAAAAGCCTATCCAGCTCTTTCCGATACCTATGGAAGTTGGCATTTCGCAAGTTTCTAGTTAGAGGAGCCTTGGGCGTTTCCCCTAATACCTCGAATTAGATATATCGGTGGTCGGAAAAGGAGTGCTCCTCAAGCACCTTCCACTTCCCGACCAGACATTCCGCATTCTCAGAGATAAGGGTAACGTCCAGAACTTCCCTTCGGGATTTTGTAATAAAAGTGGGATCATTCCCCCTATTTGCAATAACAAGCTTAAAACTAAGTATGAAATTAAAAAGTGACTCACCCCGTTCGTTATCATCGGAGCTGGCCCAGGTGTGATGGTGAGCATTCGCGTCACCTCCCAAAATTAGCGCCTCTCTCGTGCTGGCCACTAGGTCTTTAATGCAGATAGTTGGCACCTCCTTGTCGTGCTCTAGGTACATGGATGCCATCTTAATTGGTCGTCTGTTTACACTTAGACTGACCGCTGTTGTGTCCTCGTCGCTAAATTGTGGAAGAAAGAGACACTTTAGTGTGATACTTATCAATATGCACGTCCTTGGTTTCCCCGTTGAGGCTCCACTTACCAGTCTGTAGCCCGGCGCTTTCAGCCCACAAATGTTTTGTCCCACCACCCAAGGTTCTTGGATTAGGACGATGTCGGCTGCCCCTTTAGCTGTTAGATGGAGCAGCAGTGCAGCTGAAGCTGCTTTACAGTGGTGAAGGTTAATCTGCAGTACCTTCACCATCTTGGCCGTTACCGCCCACGTCGCCTATTAGGGTGGAGTTGACCGCGTCTTCCGACATCTCGATCAACTCCTCCTCCGTATAAAGCTGAAGCATGCGTCCGACCCCCAGCGAAGACGTCGATGAGGCATAACCCCCGGTCAGGTCGTCCATCGGATCAACCTGCTCGGATTCTTCCTCCATCTCCACGTCGCTGTTGGCCTCTTCCAGCTCTACCTCCGCGATCAGGTTCTTCGCTGCGTTTACGTCGTTGCTGTAGACCTTAATTTTGGCCATGTCACAGCCGTAACGTATGACCCCGCTCTTTTGCTCCAACAACTCTATGGAGTCCTTATTTAGAAGCAGGACAACCTGCATCGTCGCTTTACCGCTTTCTTTAATTTTTACCACCTTCCAATTTTCGGTAGGTAGCTCCGGGTTATAGAGCCTTATGGTTTGCAGGATCCTTTCTGGCTCCGCTGGCCTGCAAGGCAACCATGCTCTCGCTCTCGGTCGCACCGGTAGGTCCTTGAAGTCGACCGCCCTGAGCTTCGCACCAGGGTAGACTTCTCCAATACCTGCGACTGTTTTCTTATAGATCTCCGCTGATCTAGCATCCTCGCATGCTATAACGCGGATGTTATTTTG